CCCGCCCCCGGCACGTGACTGCGCAGGGGCGGGGGCGAGCGAGACAAAGAGCGGCGGCCCCGGGATGGGAACGGCGGCACGGGGACACGGACACGGGGACATCGGCACGGGGACACCGACATGGGGACACCGACATGGGGACAGGGGCACGGGGATACCGGACTGGGGACAGCGATAGCGACACCGACATGGGGACACCGGCACAGGGGCAGCGGGCTGGGGACACCGGCACAGGGACACCGACATGGGGACACCGGTCCGGGGACACCAGGCTGGAGACACAGCTTGACACAGCCACACCAACACAGCCCTAGTGGGGACAGCGTTAGGGACACAGCCACAGCCTGAGCGGGGACACTGACACGGAGATACTGACGCAGCCTGAGCGGGGACACCGGGCTGGGGACACCGGCACGGTGACACTGACACGGTGACACTGACACGCCATGGCCTCACCGCTGTCCCCGCCGCCGGCACACACAGCCAGCCTCCGGCTGTGTGTGAAACAGAGCGGAGGGAGTTGTCCCGTGGAGGGAAAGGAAGGTGTTTAATTAAGGGGCTGAAGCATTTCTCGTATTGGGAAAGGCTGGGGGGGTTCAGCCCCAGAAGAGGCAGCTGAGAGGGGACCTCAGCCAGGGCTGTCTGAAGGGAGGGTGTCGAGAGGATGGACCAGGCTCTGCTCGGTGGTGCCCAGTACTAGGACAAGAGGGAATGGGCAGAACCTAATACACTGGAAGTTTCAGCTGAATAGGAAGAACTTTAGTGTGCAGTGACTGTGCACTGAAATACTGCCTTAAGAGGGTGTGGAGTCTCTCCACTAATTCAAGTGGACACAATCCTGTGCAATGTGTTCTAGAATGACCCTGCTTAATCAGGGATGTTGAACCAGGTGGCCCACTGCTGTCCCTTCCAAGCTGACCAGTTCTGTGACACTGTGATTATGTGAGAGGGAGAAGACTCAGGGCAATCACTGAGATGGTCCTGGAGGTGCCACAGCTGTGGCTGGTGGCCGTAGGACAGCCCCAGCCAGGCAGCAGCCTCACAGTGGCCTGTCTCTGCATCTGGTGGTTTGTTTTTTTTCTTGCCTTTATTCATCCCAGCCTCCCCCCATGCTGCTGAGAGCAGGGTGAGGGAGCAACTGGGTGGGTGCTTGGCAGCTGGTGCGACCAGCCCACGGCTGTCCCTGTGACACCCAGTGGTGTGATGACTGTTCTGTTGCTGCTTGCTGTGCTGCTTATCACAGTGTTCTGTTCTGCCTGAGAGATCTATGATAAATGACCATGAGCCAAGTCTGGCATTGACCCCTGCACTGCTGCCATCTCAGTGCTCAGTGAAAAATCTCATGGAGTCTTTCCTTCTTCTCCAGGACAGATGTTCCCAAGCTGGTGATGGCAAGATCAGCATCATCACATCCCCATGGACGTGATCTGTAAAATAAATGTCAAGTTTCCACCAATTAATAAAAAGGCTTTCCTAGCCATAGTGTATTTCTGGAAACTGCAGATTCTGGATCATAGCTTGTGAGTCCTTTCCGTTTAGTGACCTTTAAGAACTTTTTTAAGTCTATTGAGTTTGTGTGGCAAGACTTTGGTAGTGGGGGGCTTCTTTGAGAAGCTGTCAGAAGCTTCTGCCATGTCCACCAGTGTCAAAGCCAACTGGGTCTAAGATCCACCACTGGCCAATGCTCAGACCATCAGTGACAGAGTTTTGCTTCTGATGGTAACTGGTAAGTGATCTCAGGAGTGATCCTTAGGAGTGCCCTCTCCTCCTGCCCCAGAAGCCTTTTGTTATATTTACTCTCCCCTGTCCAGTTGGGAAGGACAGTGACAGAGTGGCTTTGGTGGGCACCTGGTGTCCAGACAGGGTCACTAAACAGCAGCAGGACAGAGAGGACAGTTTGTATGGTAGCCCTTGGACTTGTCCAGAGAGTACCAGCTGTGAGAAGCATGCTCTGTGCTCACCTGGAGCCTCTGGCAGAAAACACCTGGAAAGAGCCAAGGTTGACCTCCGGGGTTCTCAAGCTGAGGGTATCAAGGGTCTGAGGTGTACTAGATGTTCACAGCAAGGGGCACCTCTACAACAACCTCTACAACGTCCACTTGTGGCCCAGCTCTACAGATAATGAAACTGAAGCTACATGGAATAAGGGGGTAGGATTGATCACACAGTGGGCTCAGATGAGGAACTCCCAGTGCCTTTGAATGCTGAAAGAAATCACCACTGATCCAGGAGGCAGAGATTTCAGAGCATCATCTGAAGAGGTGGCTCAAGCCCAACAATGTAATAAATAGCAGAAAGTGAAATGCAATATGATCTGTTTACCAATGCTTCCTGTTGTGTTGTGCAAAACCATCTGATGTGGAAAGCTACAGGGTGGAGCACAAGTTATGGACCAAATGAATTCATTGGACTTGTATGGATGTTTGGGGGATGTCCCACAGGCTAATGGAATGACATCTGTGTATGTCACTGGACAAGGAGGAGGATCATGATTGATGATGATGTTGATTACACAGCAGTGTGGTGTCTGTTGCTGAATAACCCTTCCACAGTGTCAGCACTCACTTTTGCTTTTTTTTCCATTCATCTTCCCCAGAAAGTAGGCAAGGATTGGGCAAGAGACTGGGAGGGGCAGAACTAGGGCAGTTGGCCTAAACTGGCCAAAGGGATGTTCCATGCCATAAAACACTGGCCTCAGCAAGAATACCTGGGGCAGAAGAAGAAAAATGGGACATTTTTCTTCCAAGGTGACCATTGCTGCTAGATGGAGGGGTATAGGTCTGCTGATGGGAAGTACTGAGCGCTTGCCTTTGAATTTCTTGGGGTTATTTTGGGTTGGGTTGTTTGGTTTAGGGGTTTTTGCTTTCCTTCACTTACTAAACTATCCTCATCTAGATTTGCAAAAATTTCTGGAGGTGCTGGTTGACAGCGACTGAACACGAGCCAGCAGTGTGCCAAGAAGAACAATGGCATCCAGGCTTGTAGAAACAGTGCAGCCAGCAGGACTAGGGAATGAAATTGTCCCTCTGCTCAGCACTGGTGAGGATGTATCTTGAATCCTACACTTAGTTTTGGGCCCTCGCTGCAACATAGAGGGGTGGAATGTATCCAGAGAAGGGCAGTGGAGCTGGGGCAGGGTCTGGAGCACAAGTCTGAGAAGCAGCTGAGGGAGCTGGAGGTGTTCAACCTGGAGAAAAGAAGGCTTAGGGAAGACCTTACCACTCTCTACAACTGCCTGAAAGGAGGCTGTAGCCAGGTGGGGGTTGGTCTTTTCTCCCAGACAACAAGTAAAAAGACTTGGAAAGGCCTCAAGGTGTGCCAGGGGATGTTTAGATTGGATATTAGAAAGAATTCT